GAATTGGGTCCAAACCCACCATGCAAAATGCCATTTTGGTGGTGGGTCCCTCCATTGTCATTGGTCCCCTGAAAGACCACCAAGGCCAAAGGGGCCCCCTCAATTACCTCATGGCCTCAACTATTTGTGGTGTGGGGTCCCACCGTCCTTCGGGTGGTCCACCAATGGGTATGGTCAGAGACCCACTTGCACTAACCGGTCCCTAAAGTAGTTTGGATGGGAACCCCTGCACGGAATGTATTTGGGGATGGATAGGGTGATTTGGGATGCACAACTTTTTAAAGTATGATCAACTTGGATTTAAATAAACGTTCCCTCGGTCCGATTTGATTTAGACTAAACCAATCCTCAATAAATTAACTGAAATTTTTTAAAATTTAAATTAAACAAGAATCAAATAGTGTAGTGTACAAATCAGTCAAACTAAACCAAATCAATTTGATTTAAGTTTGATTTTATCTAGGGCCATACATGGTTTCTAGGGAAAACTGAACAGAGCTATAGAATCTAACCGAACTGAATCAAAATCGAAAAAAAAACATTTTATAAAAAATCAGAACCATAAAGATTCACATATTAGTTCTGGTTATGGTTCTTACTAAGAACCAAATTGAAACTGAACCTGAACCATATTGAATCCAAATCGAGCCGGAACCGAATCGAAAAATTAATTAATTAATACATATTTTCATTTTTAGATATATTATTAATTTAAAAATTTAAAAAATTATATATTTTATTATTTAAAATAAAAATTATATTCCAATTTACTTAATAAATATTAAAATGATGTGAGATTCTATTTATAATTGATTGAAATACTTTTCAATAATTAATAATGAATTTGATATTTAGGGAGGAAACTTAAATTTAACTTAATTTTTAATTTAAATATACAATTTTTCCTGTATAAGCTTTTTTATATTATAACTATAAATTACTAAACATAATTATATATGTCACCAACTAAGCATACGTGCAATTGTATTGTTTATTATAAAATTATATCAATTAATCATACAAATTCATTATTCTAACAGAGTTTCAATTATCACTTTTCTAGTTATAGTTTGTATTCCTATCATATTTAATTCTATAATTAAAATGTTTCTATTTCATGCGTACTTAATATTATATTTAATATTGTTATAATAAATAATTTTAATAATATTATAATTATTGTCTTTCTAATAACTAGTAATAGTGTTATATCATTAATAATAGTATAGTTACTAATAATTATAATTAATATTTAATATTTAACAATCAAAACTACATAGTTTTATATGTGAATTTTTCAATTATCATATATTGTAATTTTAGTTTAATATTAAAATTCTTGTGATTTAATGAAATGTGATATCAATATACAGAATAATGAATTAATTTTCAACAAGAAACCTTGAATTGGAACCAAAACTAAAGAATTGAAAAATAAAACCGAAATTGAATCGAATTATGGTTCGGTTATAGTTCTGGTTCAAAAGTCATTTAGTTCCGGTTCCAATTCTAAATTTAAAAAGAAGCAAACTATTGTTTTGGTTTCAGTTTTTATCAAGAACCGAACCAAAATTGAAATCGTACAATCTTAATTTTGTCTATTTTTAGACAAATTTAAATAATAAAAATAAACTAACCATAAAAAATTTATACTCTTTCTATTAATAAATAAAAATCGAATTATATGAAAATAAAAGTGAATCAAATTAAATTGACTCAACTCAATTTAATCAATTAGTTCAGACTTTCCAACTTTGCTCAAACCTAATAAATGAGTTCGATATAATTATGAGAATAAAGTTAGTTCAAAAAAAGTACACTTTTTAATTTTATAAAACCAGAATTATGGTAATTTGGTCATTTTCTTTTTTTTCCAAGTCATTTGTAGAGAGTGTACATCCTACGTTGTGCCATCAGTTTATCCTTAGTCAAAATTTTATCATAATATATTGTTGACTCTAGATGTCTATATGGCTATTCATACACACGAAATATTTTATCACAAAATTTTAGCAGTTCAGACGTTGTATTATAAAATTTTTATGTTACAAAACAAAATTTATAATTAACTCCATTTTTATTTATAGGAATCGTTAAATGAGCTGGAAGATTATTGCAGCGAGATAATATTATACATTTAGTATTTTATTTTTTAATTTTTTTTCTATTTTGATATCTAAATTAAAAACAATATCAATTTAATGTTGAAATTTTTAAAATTTGCAATTAAAGGTCGAAACTCTATCAACCAGCTAAATTTGAATGGAATGAAATTGGCACTGAATTGCTTTGTTGGCAACAGATGTGGGCCATGTGACATAAATGAGACGTGTCTGCATGACACATAGATGCCATATGGATTAACATGGAACTTTGATTTTGCTCAACTGTCTCCTTCAACCCTACCATCAATGCATGGAATGCATAAATAAATAAATAAATAAATCTAGAAAAATATTTATTTTTCACGGATTACATACAAAAATTAATAATGTTATTAGAAAACTAATACTCATTATCAGTATTATTCTTCCATTTGCAATTACATTTCCTCTTCAACCGTTCTTTTCAAACTTGATTTTTTTTTTTACATAAATTATTTTTGAATTTTAATCTTTTTGCCGATTCATGGCTCTCTGAATTAATGCTTTATGGATCATTTTCTCAATCTATTTCTAGAAAAGAATATTCAAAAAATGTTATTATAATCTGAAAAATATTAAAAACATAATTATACGTAAAAAAATTACAGTGAAACTCAGCAAAGAAAACGTAATATCGTTTATCAATATTCACAAAGTCCAAGTTCTAAGGAAAACTTGCATATAACTGGAACTCATCTTTTAAGATATAGGAAGAATGTTCAACTTTTCCCTCGAAACTATAATTTTTTCTGACACAAACAGTACAAATTAATTATTTTATTAAAATATTGGTGCTTGATGACAAACAACATATGCATGAAACCTAAACTTGGTAGTGACAAACAACATATCCACTGCATTCGATAATAATGAGTTTCAAAAGCAAAGGATGATATAATTTAAAAGAAAAACTGAAGGATGATAAAGAAGAATCGCGCATTTGGAACACTCAGTAGTCGATAGAAATCAATAAACAGTCGATTCAAGAGCTCCAATCCTTACTTTCTCTCCTTATAGCTACACTCGTACCAAGTCTTTCGTTTTATTTATTTAACATAAACTGCTTTTTATCTTGAAATCGTTTTACTTCACTGATCAAAACGATTTAGGGTAAAATTTTTCCACTCAATTGTAACCAGATATACGCTAGGTAACTGAATCGACGCCCATCAAACAATAACAAATTTTATTCATACACTTTAAGAGCTGTTTGGAGAACATACGCGCTGTCCTAGATAAAAATAATTAATTTGTACTGTTTGTACTAAGCTCTGTGTGCTTTGTATAAAAAAAGAGTCAAATATGGGCAAATTATAGTTTCATTCAAAATTTGAGGAGCAAATTGAACATTCTTCTTATGACTTACCGGGACTTTGACATCAATTTAATTTATTTCCAGCCTACTTGAAAATTGAATATATGACATCCAATCCAAAAAGACAAGCAAATGGACTTTCTACTATCTTTATTAGTTAGTTCAAGGCTATGTTCAGTAACAACTTTTTAAGTGGCTTTTAGCGTGTTGATTAATGTTTAATAACATAACATTTAAACTATATTTTAGAGATTAAGATAGTGTTGCATAAAAAGTTAACATCTAACTAAATATTATTAAAATAATTAACAGTTACCAAAACAACTAGTTTTACCGAACATCCTTGAAATAAGTTAAAATAGCTAATTATTATATTCTTAAATATTCTCACATTCAAATTACGCGGATTTCAAGAATTTTTGAAATTTTAATAATAAGTGATTTGAGAAAGATGAAATTCTAATATTTTGTAATAGGAAATTTATATTTTTATAAAAATTCCACTTTTATGAATATATGAGGCCACACATGCTTTTTTTTCCTATGTATTTTAAAGGGTTAAAAAACTATATATATCATAACATTTTTTACTTTTTTATAAAATTTTATCCATACAAAAAATCGACAACAAAACAACATTTTAAATTATAAATTTTAAACTCATAAATCATTATATCTCTATGAGAATTGACCTATTATAAATTCAAATTCTATATCAAAATTTACCTATTAATTCACCATTCTATTCTTTGATACTAAGCTATTTCTTATGTTTAAGAGTATCGCATATTGGTAGAAACTATCACTAATTTATATCAAACCTGCAGACTTTGATTGTACGAGGAACAATATCCAATAGTAGACTGGAGCAATCCTGAAATCACTTACTAATCTTTTATTATGTTCTCCTTAACTTTTACTACTACACCAGGACTATGGGATTGAAGAAATTAAATGGTGATGAGCAGAATTAAGAGATAGTATATATTATTTTGTATGTTTTTCTAGCTCTAATATTTAGATTTTTAAGGTGTATGAAAATTTGGAGAGAAATATTAAGATGTTGGGAAATTTTTATCTCCATTGTTAGGTATTAAAGGATACAGTTCTATTTTCTGTATCTTTATTTGATTAAGATTTTTATCCTTTTTAACAATTTTTTTTGTGTTTGTGTATATTACTTTTGAAATTATTTTCTATCTTTTACCAAATTAATGATATTGTGGGTATCTTTGTTTTTCTTATTTTAAAATTTTATAATTTATAATTTAGTCTTTACATTTCTTTAACAGTTTTGTCCAAATAGCAATAATAAAGTTTGAAATAAGCACCAAGCACCATCTACCTAATTATTTATTAAATGAATTATTGACCTACACAACGCGCGTGAGTCTAGTTAATAAATAGAGCCAAAACTTTTAATTTCTCATTTGGCAATGTAATTATCATCTTTAAATTATTAATTATATTAAATTAAGTATAAATAAGCTACATGGATTTGAAATAAACGTAACGTAGTCCGTAAAAGGCCACAAAAAAGGAACCTGTCAGACAACCATGCGACCGTCCCATTCAGCTAGGCTAACTGGGTAACGATCCTCTACAGCAACAATGAACTCTAAGGCCCACAAAGCCGTTAATCACGCTCTGATCGCACGGTCTTGATTCATCCACCAGGGTTGGGTTCCTGTCTCCTTTGTGCTAAAGGATACAGAAGTACGATCCTATAGAACAGATCCTGTTCAAGTAAGGTCGTGACCACAGCTCATCTTCAGCTCCATTATTTACTGTCCAATTGTATTGTTAATTTCCGATGTGGGAAGGGCTTCATTGCTTTTCGTTTTTGTCAAAGTAAGTGATGCTATTTAACGTCTCAACTCTCAGCGCTTCTATAATTAAACCAAATTGAAAGATAACATTTTGAGTTAATTTTTAATACGGTTTAATATTAATATTATTGAATATGCATATTATAAATTATAATATAATTTGGCAGTTTTCTATACTTTGTATGGCTATATAATATTTTTTTTATTTGAGGTTTATGACATGGATAAATTATTATTAAATCAAAATGTGTACAATATATAAATAATATGATTTAAATGGATTCGATTCAAAAAAATAAAATTGTTTATCTAATTCATAAAAATGTTAGCTACATGAATTTAAGATGTTGAAGTATTTATTTTATATGTGAGTTAAGGTAGCACATATAAAATGGGTTTGAAGATATAATGGGTTGGGTTAGACAGACCATTTTATAATTCACGAAAGATCCGACCCAACCTATAAATAAATTATAAATTATTTAGTTGATTTGACTTGATTTGCAATTTTGAATATATATACTATATTATTTACATATTTAGTAGATATTACCTTTGCTTTTAGAGTATATTGTAGTTTAAATTTAACATATTATATAATTATGGTACTAAGTATTTTTAATTTTATTGGTCATCATTTTTATTAGGAAATTTTAATTTTTCATTGTTGATTATGATTATGATGATGATTATAATGAACATGTTAAGAAATTTAATTTTAATATTGTCGTTAAAATATATTTATAGTTTGTGAAAATTATTGTATAATTAAGATTTTAAGTATATCTATTTTTTTTTACTAATCCTCTTAAAGAGTTGTATTTTATTTAAAATAATTTTATCAATTATCATTTATTTGACCTATGAGTTTACGTTGAACCCGATATTCAATCCAATCCATTCATAATCTGCGGATTCACAAATTTAATAGATTGAATTGGGTCAAAAAAATCATTGACTCGCACATACGAGTCAAATACTTAAATCAATCAACCTGACTCCACGTGCAGCCCCAATGTAAATCTTGATTATAAAGAGTACAATAAAGTTAATATATATAATGTGAATATAAAAATAGTTATTTATATATATAACCTGAATAATAGTTTAGAAGCAACCATATCTTTCTTTTTATATATGTCTTATCTTTGATATGATATTTTTAAAAGCACTGGATATACGATGAATAATTGAAACATAGCAACAATTTGTTGGAAATAGTAATTAAGCTTTAGACTGAAAAAATAAAATACTTAAAATTATAATATTTTAATATTTAGACGAATTGGTAGATGGATTCCGGTAGTGTTAGTACGGAGCATGAACCCCGTCCACTCTAAAAGCAAAGTTAAAGTGCGTTCATTCACTGGTTAATCCCACCGTAACACGTCATTGTTTTAGAAAGGAAATAAAAAAATTTGACAATGTCCTTGGCGTGTACAATGTGTTGCCTGGCTCAACTCCACCAGCCAAAGCTATAAACACTAAAATAAGGAAACTCAATTTCTTAAGCTGTCGCCTAAGGTGAAGAACAAAGACTTACAAGGCTCTCAACTAAGCCAGCGAAGGAGAGAATCATGCCATCCCCTAGTGGATAAAGGTCACCACATAGGCGACCGCTTGCACGAGCAAAGAAAAGGAAGTGCTCGCCTACAACCCACCCAATCGAAATAGGCTCTCGTCCAAATGCATCTCCGTTTTTTCAACTTATGTTCTCGCTTACTCGTCACACACGTGTTATCACATGAGATCACGAAATTAAATAGGCTTTACAGAGATAATCCTCAGAATTAATTATTTGTCAATAATATGTTAGTTTACAAACGTGTCAACTAAATAAAATAGAGTAAACACATAAATCACTTTTTGCATGCTCTCTCTCTCTCTCTCTCTCTCTCTATGTCTTCCGCTCTCTCAAAACATGAAAAGAAAAAAGGGAAACCGACCACGCCATGGGCGATCCGCCATCACTAAACTCGCCAAGCCATAGCCCCAAACCATTGCTGCCTCTCTCTTTGCTGCCCTCTCACTCTCTCTCTCTCTCTCTCTCCGCCAAAACACCACCGAAGCCCTTTCTAGGATCGATTGGTCCCCTTCTCTTTCTCAAATGCCTCTCCGTCGCACTAGGCAATTTTAGTTTTTAATTCTTATTTTTCTTTCAATTTTCTTCATGTAGTAAGACTAAAAACATATGTTTTGTGCTTCTATGTGTTGCTTGAACAATTAAAATCAAAAGAATCTTTCCTTGAACTAAAATGACGGCGAAGACAAAAAATATTGCACTCCAGCCACAGTCGCAAGGAACGATAAAGAAAATCTAAAAAAGCGGCAGCAATGGATACAAATATGGTGACTCCACTGTCCTCATCGAAGCGTAAAGGAGAGGCTATAGCTTCACAATCGCTTCCGATACCGTCTGCCATTGATAGCTAGGTACAATTTAAAAATGAAAGGCAAAAATAATTTTATGCTTCTTTGATGAAGAGACATGTCGTACCATCTAGATATGTTGACATGAATGATTTGAGGAAAATTAATCTACTTGAGCTTGTGATTGCATTATTTGAAAGTAGGGGATGGAAAAGATTTTTATTACAGAGCTACCCAACTTATCAGGAATTGACTTTGGAATTCCTTAGCTCTTTTTATTTTGTGTTTAGAATTTTAGGAAAAGATTGGAAAATTTGCTCAAGAAAACTTATTGAATTATTAGGACTACCTAAAGCACATAATGAGCCATACATGGTTCTATCGGATTTTAATACTGGAGAAATTTGGCAAGCTTTGACTTTCAGGGCCCCGATGTATAAAAATGAAGAAGCAAAATCCTCTTATATTGATAGATTCAGTCTTAGGATTTTGCATAGACTGCTGGGGCATAGTATTAGCTAGAGGAAAAAGCCCAGGAGCCGTATCCAAGACAGATCTTTTTATCCTCTATTGTTTCATGCATAGGTAGCAAATTAATATGGAACCCTTTATTTATGAGCATATTGTGAGTACCATCCTTGATAACAGGGCGATGATAGCGATCAGTGGCATGGTTACGGCATTAGCTATAGGACTAGCTCAGTTTGACATTGTAGATCAACCTTACCTAGCTATTGGAGGCAGTACTAGATTAGATTTAGGACTCATTTATGCACATCTATCATTTTCTTCATGTTTTTCGCTATCTATTTTTTCCTTTCGTGTTTAGAACTTACTTTTATTGCATGGTATGTTTTTAATTTTCTTCAATATAGTCTTTATATAAAGAACTATTTATGAGTCCTTTAAAATCTTCTTATTATAAATAGATCATGCGCCTAATTTAGATTTCTTCTTAAGATCGACATAAAAAAATATAAAGTATGATTTTCTTTTCTCCCATCCTTAAGACATTAGGTATAGTGTCTAATTTAAGCATGAGGGAGAAAAAATTTTAAATGATCATATGTTTATAAAATTCTAAAATTTCAGACTAATTGTAAAATTTTGCTTGAATTAGTTACATAACTTCAAATATAATTTTGAAAAATTCTTTCACTTTTCAAAGAAATCTAGCAGATTAAATATTTAAAGATAGAACTCAAATTTTCTATTTTAAAAAAAGAATTTTTTTTTTGATAATTAAAATCCAAGAATGCTGATATGCATGATTTCTTACAGTTAATTCTAAGAAATCTATCATAATGAACTACTTAGCTAGTAGGAAACACTCACTCCTTTAGATTTTAGAACCTTCTTTTTATAACTCTTTTGAGGCAAAATGGAAAACAATTTTTGTGTATTTTTATGGAAATCATTTAGGCATTCTTTGAATAAACTATAAAGATTGTGAAAATTGTTTTTACCTTTAAATTTTAATCCCTTGATAAGCCCATTTGAACCTTAAGAATCTGTATTTTTTTCTGAAGAACATGAAAATATAAATCACCGAGCATAAAAGGCATTTTTATCTCCCCTTATATGTGAATTATATTTTTGGTTAAGATTGAAAAATACAAAAAGCGGAATTTTGAAAAAAAAAATATAAAAATCCATTTCCTAAAAATTGGGATTTTGATAAGACGCTTTGAGCTTTAACAATCCGTGTTCTTTTTTGAAAAACATGAAAATCTAAATCACCAAGCATAAAAAGCATTTTTATCTCCCCTTCCATATAAATTATATTTTTGGTTAAAAATGAAAAATACAAAAATTGGGATCTTGAATTAAATAGAAAACTCCATTTCCTAAAAATCCCAAAATATCAAAAAATGGGGAAAAATTCAAAAGGAAAAGGAAAAAAGAAAAGGAAGAAAAAATCAGCTCCATCCCCCAAAATAAAAAAAAAAAAAAAATCAAAAAGGGGATAGAAGAAAAATCTAGGTTGAAGGAGAAAAAAATAAGAAATTGAGGAAATGTGATTAAAAGAAAAATCCATGTTTCATCTTAAAACTAGATAAATTAATCACATGTTATTCGTACAAACTTAATTACTACTCATTAGCAGTTCTTTGGATTTTCCGCATATCTTAATAGTAGCATTTAAAGATTAGTTATTGAATAAAATTTACTCTTATATAAATTTAAGCTTATCAAAATGAGTTCTTGAGTTAAATATTGCAAGATTTAGAGAAAAGAGGAAGAATTGAGTTAAATTGCTTGAGGACAAGCAATAGTTCAATCATGAGGGAATTTGATACAATCAGATTACTTATATATTTACAAATTAAAATCCTCCTAATTAATTTATAATTTGGTTTATTTTACATACTTACCATTAGGGGTGACCATGGTTCCGGAACCGTCGGTTTCGTTTTCAAAAAATTTGGAACTGGAACTGAATCGAAAATTAACGGTTTCAGTTACGGTTTAGAACCGAACGGTTCTGGTTCCGATTTCGGTTCCTCATTGGTTCCAAAATCGACGGTTCGGCCAGTTCTCCGACCGGTTTATCGAC